CTTCATGTACCTCAAATTCAGCCTTTTCATGGTCCTTCTTCTGCTGGTCTGTGGGATTCTGGATGATGGTTTTCTCTCCGTCGATGACGTGCTGCTTCAACTGATGTGACAGCATACCTTCTATTGGTGTGCAATTAAATGAGTGGGCAACTTTGTTCCAGGCTTCTGTCACTTGTGTGTTCTTGTTTCCAGGTTTGACTAAGCGTAGGGCAGCTTCAGCACATAGGTGAGCTGCCTTAATGACATCTGCTTTCCTCCCTGTTACTTGAGTCCCCTGGGGCACACCAATGACAAAAGTGTGAGCCACATTAGCAATGAAGCCATCCACATGAACCCCAAGGTCAATTTTTACCAAGTCACCTTCCTTGAGAATATAATCCTGGTCACTCTTCAAAGGGGAGAAGTGGCACACACAGTTATTTACTGAGATGCTGGTTGGAAAGGCAATACCTTTCTTCATTTCCTTTCCTTCCTTGAAGATTTTTCCTGTCTCTTCCACAATCATGGCATCACCTTTCTCACACAGGCTCAATACTGACACACCTGAGCTGGATGCTTCCACCAAAGCTCGAAGGACCCGGTTGGCGATGTCGCCCCCCATCTTATACTTGGTCACGACCAGGTCTTCGGCGATAGTTTGCTCCTGCTGCTCGTCCTCGCCCGACATCTTCCTACTCCCACCACTGCAGCTTCGTTTCCCCTGAGCCGCTGACTCCGTTTCCCTTCCCAGCCGCAGGCTGTGGCCAAAGGCCCCTTGATCCGCGAGGAGAGCGCGAGCGAAAGCTCCAGCAAGCAAGGCAGCGGGCGGGCCAGATGTACACTTTTGAATTGAGTCTTTGAATTTGAGGAACCAGATTTTTTCAATTATTTATATGTTGTAGATATAATTCCTTTGTTTGTGGATCAACTCACTATAATTTTTTTTCCACTCTGTAGGTTGCCTTTTCACTCTGTTGGTGATTTTTTTATTGTTGTGCAAGATCTTTTTAATAAGGTGAGATCTCATTTGTTGATTCTTTGTAATATTTCCTTTGTAGTCTGGGTTGTGTTAATGAACTCTGCCTAAACCTATGTCTTCAAGATTTCTGCATATTTTTCTTTTCCAGTAAAGTAGCACTTTCAGTTTTAATATTGAGAACTTTTATGCATTTGACTTTAATTTAGCGCTTAGTGATAGACATGGGTCTAGGTTTAGTCTTCAGCATGTGGAAAGCCCATTTTTTCAGCAGCATTGTTAAAGAGGCTCTCTTTCCTCCAATGAACATGTTTGGCTCCTTTGTCAAAGATAAGGTGCTTAAGTGTGTTTGAGGTTGTGTTTGCATCTTCTATTCTGTTTCACTGATTCTCAGGTAAGTATTTCATTTTTTTTGTTAATGCCATGCTTGTTTAGGATGTTATTTTTTGTGTTTCTTTTTAAATATTTGTAATAAAATTTGTACATCAAAAAAACTTTATCCTTTTATTTGTATTGCTTTCCTTTTTTGTAGTAAATAACTTGTTGAAGGATGATTCCAACCCACAAGCATATGGTCAGTTACTCTTAGGAGTTTAAAGATAGCAAACATTCTGTGAAACAGCAAAAATGATGAGAATGCCCCTACTATTGGCACTGGGCAGGACCTTTTATTTTAAAAAAGGAGATGGTAAAATGGAGCACACAAATTAATTATGCCTTTTGCACAGGGAAATTATAACACTCTCTACAGTCTTAAACAGTTTCTTCGTGAAACTTGTGTAGTTTTGTTTCGTGTGTGTGTGTGTGTGTGTGTGTGTGTGTGTGTGTGTAGCTTTATTTCAACCAAAGTAGTCTGTTAGCATTGCAACTCCATGTACTGAGATATTGTTTCGATGATAGTCACTGCAGTCTTATCAGAATGGAAATCTTTGGATACTAGCTAGAAAGGATAACTTAATGCAATACAATCATCCTGTCCTCTAGCAGATAGACATTTAATATATTGAATAATATTTGGAATCCTCAGAGCTCATTTCTGTAGTTGAAGTGACCTAAAAAATACTGTTACAAAATTAAAAACATGTATGAACATGTAGCAAACAAAATTAGGCCCATCAGTGTTAAGCATTAGTGTAAAACCTAGATATTCAACAAATTACTGAAATTTTGCACAGCAAAGTAAATGTTAAAATAATTTGTAAGAGCAGGATAAACTAGATGAAAAATACATGCACAAGAACTGCATGCTGCTAATACAGTGCGAGGATAAGTTGGCAGTTTTCTGTAGTTCACTAGTTAGAATGAAAGTTGAACTGTTACACCAGAGTCTTGGAAGTTAAAAATCTTAAGCAGCGTAGATATTTCCTTTTTATGTAATAATATTTTTCCTTGAGGGATATCCTTAAGAGATGTTTGTGTTCATTAGCATGAGGCTTCCATCTCTAGGATCACTTGATAACTCTCTCTCTCTTTACTCATAAATACAATTTCTCTTATAAATTATGAAATTGCTCCTTTGAGTTATCTTAGAATTATCTCCTTTTCTGTATCTACTCATGGACATTAATCACTGTTTCCATGATTTGATTCTGGTATGAAGGTGTGTGAGCTGGGAGCACAGGACTGTGGAGGTGCAGGGCTCCACTTCACAGTGCTGTCAGCTCCTCCCTGTTGGTAAGAATGGTTTGCTCTTTCTCATACATTCTTTAAGTCTAAATGTCTACTTCTTCCTTAAACTGAGATCAATCTAGTTCACATAATACTAACTGCTTACTGCATAACTGCAGATGCAAATTGTACACTCTGATCCCTTTGAGCAAAGTTTCTTATTTTATGGACCTTTAGTATCCAGTGTCATGAGAAAGTATAGATGTCAGTCCTCCAAAATTTGTTTAATAAGATTCCTGAATTCTTGAAACTCTAACCCAGGGAAATTATGCTATTTTTCCTTTTTTCTTTTTCCAGTTTCTTTTTATCCCATTGATAGATGACTAACTCCAAGGAGAAAAAAAGCCATCAGTTATAAATGGAAATCAGAGACAAATTCTAAACCAAGAATTTGCATTAGGAAAAGGAAAGCTTCTAGCGTTTCCTACACCTGCATGGAAGGCTCTATTTCTAGGATGCCTCTTTGGAGTCATATTTGGGTAATTTCTTTACTTTTGGATTATTTGTAGTGCTCTTTATTTTTCTCAGTAGGAATTTTAGCCTATCCTAGAGTTTATCTCTTACAGGAATTTCTTGAAAAAACCAGGTGTGATAACTCTGCCTGTATGAGAACTGTGGCAGCTATCTTGGTTCCAAGGGAGAATTTTTCTGAGAAATAAAAGCAAAGCTTTGTGACAGCCCATGTACAAAGAGGAAACAACTTTCAGTAGTATATTACAAACTTAGCCAGTCCTAAAGCTGTCCTAATATCTATGAAATAAAATATTTTCAGCATTATTTAACTCACCTTAACAGAGTTTTTTTGGATACCTGCAGTCAAAAGTATCTTAACTTATAAACAAAAGAGAGCTCAGGATGCTGAAGGCAGTAAAACAAAATCAAATGAGTTTAAGAAGGACAGAGGAAAGTACACCCATGTAAGAAGCAGTTAGGAGAAAACTTTGTGCAGAAAGATAAAGTCAGATGCGCAACAAATTGAGAAAAATACTTGCAGAAGTATTTCCTAAACCACATGTTAGGACCTGCAGTCATTTTTACTATAATTGGCAACCAATATAGATTCGCTCAAGTAACCTTTATACATCTATCTATCTATCTATCTATCTATCTATCTATCTATCTATCTATCTATCTATCTATCTATCTTTTTAAGTGCTTGGGATTGAACCTAGGGCCTTACA